CCATGAGGTCACGAAGAGTCAGAAATGACTGAACAAATGAACAACAACAACAACAACACATAGATCACTTCTCCAATGAATACAATATTAAGATCCATAGCACAGCACGGGAGAACCACCTGCTTTGTGCATTCAACTGTCAGAAACCCCAGCGATATGAAGTAGGCGGCTGTGGTTAGATTGTGGTTCCTTTGTGCTGCTGAAAGAAGTAAAGTAGAAGATATGAGAAAATAAAACTAACTTGAAATTCCTGGCCCTAATCGAGCTTACAGACATGGGAATTGGAAATTCGCAAGACTAGATTTTGACCAAGTCCTTTTTATCACAGATCCACTGAAATCAATTGATCTGCTGTTGCCCAGAATTTAACTCATGTAATTAAGATGCTGAAGATGTGGCTGGATTGGGTTTTGAGGGTAAAGAAAACTCATCTAATTTTTTAAGAATTGGTGTAATACAGATCCGTGAAAATGAAGCATTCTGAATTTGTTGACCACTAACTGTTGTATGTGGAGGAGGGCCGATGTGGTCCCAATCTTCAAGAAGGGAAAAAAGGATGACCCAAACAATTACCGTCCGGTCAGCCTCATGTCGATACCAGGCAAGATTCTGGAAAAGATTGTTAAGGAAGTGGTCTGCAAACACTTAGAAACAAATGCGGTCATCGTAATAGTCAACATGGATTTATCAAAAACAAGTCATGCCAGACTAATCTGATCTCTTTTTTCGATAGAGTTACAAGCTGGATAGATGCGGGGAATGCCGTGGATGTAGCGTACCTGGATTTCAGTAAGGCCTTCGACAAGGTCCCCCATGACCTTCTGGCAAGGAAACTAGTCCAATGTGGGCTAGGCAAAACTACGGTGAGGTGGATCTGTAATTGGTTAAATGGAAACCCAGAGGGTGCTCACTAATGCTTCCTCTTCATCCTGGAAAGAAGTGACAAGTGGAGTGCCGCAGGGTTCCGTCCTGGGCCCGGTCCTGTTCAACATCTTTATTAATGACTTAGAGGAAGGGCTAGAAGGCATGATCATCAAGTTTGCAGACGACACCAAATTGGGAGGGATAGCCAATACTCCAGAGGACAGGAGCAGAATTCAAAACGATCTTGACAGATTAGAGAGATGGGCCAAAACTAACAAAATGAAGTTCAACAGGGACAAATGCAAGATACTCCACTTTGGCAGAAAAAACGAAATGCAAAGATACAGAATGGGGGACAATGCCTGGCTCGAGAGCAATACGTGTGAAAAAGATCTTGGAGTCCTCGTGGACAACAAGTTAAACATGAGCCAACAATGTGATGTGGCGGCAAAAAAAGCCAATGGGATTTTGGCCTGCATCAATAGGAGCGTAGTGTCTAGATCTAGGGAAGTAATGCTACCCCTCTATTCTGCTTTGGTTAGACCACACCTGGAATATTGTGTCCAATTCTGGGCACCACAATTCAAGAGAGATATTGACAAGCTGGAATGTGTCCAGAGGAGGACGACTAAAATGATCAAGGGTCTGGAGAACAAGCCCTATGAGGAGCGGCTTAAGGAGCTGGGCATGTTTAGCCTGAAGAAGAGAAGGCTGAGAGGAGATATGATAGCCATGTATAAATATGTGAGAGGAAGCCACAGGGAGGAGGAGCAAGCTTGTTTTCTGCTTCCCTGGAGACTAGGCCCTGGAAACAATGGCTTCAAACTACAAGAAAGGAGATTCCATCTGAACATGAGGAAGAACTTCCTGACTGTGAGAGCCGTTCAGCAGTGGAACTCTCTGCCCCGGAGTGTGGTGGAGGCTCATTCTTTGGAAGCTTTTAAACAGAGGCTGGATGGCCATCTGTCAGGGGTGATTTGAATGCAATATTCCTGCTTCTTGGCAGGGGGTTGGACTGGATGGCCCATGAGGTCTCTTCCAACTCTTTGATTCTGTGATTCTACCTCGAGTAGCTGTGAAACATATTTCTTAGCATCTAAAATGACTGTCCTTGAATGACTGTCCATTGCAGGCAAGATTCTAGCCTGGATGCAAATCATTTTCATCTTTAAGTGTTCTTAAAAATGCCCCCAGCGTGTTGGTTCTTCTACTCTAGATTTGGAGAGGTAGTAAGACAGACAGGAAGCTTTCAGAATAACAGGAAACCTCAGATACAGTTAGGGGGTCTGACAAACCCACCAAGGCTGAGAAATATAAGCAGATCCCATCACACAATTACCCAGGTGTTGCTATGTTGGATTCCACGCCTTACCACAAGTTTTGCAAACTGAGCACAAAAATATCAGTTCTTACTCAATGCAGAGAGGTTTACTTATGAACAAGGAGGTCTGAAAACGAAGGGCAGGGGGAAAAAAAAGACACTGTCAGAGGCTAAAGAATGATGCATCCACATGGGATAAAATCTGCCATCAGATAAATGAGCCGGAAGATCCTTTCATGCCCACTGCAGAGTAACAGACAAATACCAACACCCCCAGTACTCATTCACATGCATAATGGAACTATTGAAACACTCAAACTGATGAAAGTTAGTACTTGAGGTCAAAAGACATAGCAACCTTCCTGACGCTGGAGTTGTGAGTTACTTTGTGCAGGTGCCCTTTCCTGCCCTATATTAGCGTAACATCTAAATATATTTCTCTTTGCTCATGTACATTCTGAAAAAATAGATATCATTATAACACCCCTTCCAATCAAACATTAATGAGCATTTGTATGTTAGAGAGATGAAAGAGGACAAGAGATACATCTACACTGTACAATAAATGCCAAACCAAATTCAAGGTGCAGGTTATGACCTATAAAGCCCTAAACAGTTCGGGCCCCACCTATCTTCGCAATCACGTCTCCCTCTATAAGATCTTCTGGGGAGGCCCTCCTTTCGCTCCCACCATCACAAGCATGGTTGGTGGGGACGAGAGAGAGGGCCTTCTCGGTGGTGGCCCCCTGCCTCTGGAACGGCCTTCCTAGAGAAATAAGACAGGTCCCATCCCATCCCTCCTTTCGCAAGAGCCTGAAGACCTGGTGGTTTAAACAAGCCTTTGAGGACGACTAGTTCTAGCTCAGCCCCAGATACTGTTGAATATGGCCATATCTTTTTCTACCAATTTCCCAGGTTACTTCCTCCTATTAGGCCCTGGAAATGAACAGCCATAGACTCTACCTAATTTCCTGGGCCCTCTACAAATTGCACTAGCCTCGGCCCGGCCTTTTAAATTGCCTTGAACAGGCAGGATTATTTTAAATATATATGTGCTGTTGTGATTTTTTAGGCTTATGTTGTCTTGTTAATTTGATGTTTATGCTGTTTACTTTGTATGTATTGATGACTTGGAAACCGCTCTGAGTCCCCTCGGGGAGATAGAGCGGTATATAAATAAAGTTTTGTTGTTGTTGTTGTAAATGCAGTTTTACACCACGTTAACTTCATGGCTGAATGCTATGGAATGGGAGTTGTGGTTTCACAAGGTCTTTAACCTTCTCTGTCACAGTGCTGGTATCTCACCAAACTACTACCCCCAACTCCACATGCACAAAACAACATGTGCTCACTTAAGTTGTTTTGGGTCATATAGGCCGAGTAAATACCCTGAAAAGAACTATACTGTATGTAGTCTGATGCCAAAAAGGTGTCCAGGAACCAGAAAAGGATGACTGCTGGCATGGAAGGCACCCTTAGAGAATATTGTTCTAATGTGATGAGAAATCTAGCAGCAATAAGAGTGTGTTTAGCTGTATTAGTAGTTCATGTTCAGGAAAAAGCTAAAGGTAGTAGTTTGGTGAGACACCTCTCAGACCCTTTTAGCAGCTCACATGTGGCTCTTAATGAGACATGCCGCATTATCACGGGGTGTCTGCGCCCTACACCACTGGAGAAATTACACTGTCTAGCCGGTATCGCACCACCTGACATCCGCTGGGAAGTGGCAGCCAATAGTGAAAGGACCAAGGCAGAGATATCTCCAGCTCATCCCCTGTTTGGGTATCAGCCAGCACATCAACGACTTAAATCCAGACATAGTTTTCTAAGATCTACAGAGACACTCGCTGGAACACCTCAGCAAGCGAGAGTCCAAAAGTGGCAGGCTCAAACTCAGAACCTCAACCAATGACTGAGACCAAATGAGAAACTCCCTCCTGGGCACACAGAGGACTGGGTGACTTGGAAGGTGCTGAACAGACTGCGCTCTGGCACCACAAGATGCAGAGCCAACCTTCAGAAATGGGGCTACAAAGTGGAATCCTCGACATGCGAGTGCTGAGAGGAGCAAACCACTGACCACCTGCTGCAATGCAACCTGAGCCCTGCCACATGCACAATGGAGGACCTTCTTGCAGCAACACCAGAAGCACTCCAAGTGGCCAGATACTGGTCAAAGGACATTTAATCAACTACCAAACTCATACATTTTGTATTTTCTCTGTTTGTTTGCTGTGTTCTGTTAGAAATGTAATATAATTGACTGGCTGCCCTGACACGAGAAATAAATAGCAGCTCACATGGCCATAATTTGCCCACAATGGTTTGGGACTACCTATATGCCCAAGATTTAACAATAGCTGTGACTCTATGGCTCCTCTACTTTGTATGTTCTGATTAAAAAAAAACGGCACTCCATGCAGTCATGCTGGCGACATGACCTTGGAGGGGTCCAACTGGAGCAAACTATAGGGAGCACACAACACTCCTATTAAAACAGCTTCACTGGCTGCCAATAAGTTGCTGTGCCGAATTCAAGGTGCGGGTTATGACCTATAAAGCCCTATCTCCGCGATCGCATCTCCTTCTACGAACCGGTGTTGGGAGTCACTTTCTTATTGCATTTGATACAGCATGGCCCATGATTTTATCCTTGAGCTCTTATTACTATTATTATTATTATTATAAAATAATATATTAGGCTTAATATGTCAGTGGAACAAAACATTCAAGAGATGAGTTGATGAGTTTAATGGGCTCTTTCATTTTTTTAAATGTTCAGTACTGTAAACAAGAATTTCAATAAGCCCTAGATCTCTCCCTTATTTTTAATATGTAAAGCTTTTGACAATACAGGTATCACCTGGATATACTGCAATTAACAATTTCACTTGCTATTGGAAAAATATTTTAATACTATCTTGTGCAAAAAGTCATCCTACGAGAAGCAGTTAATTACACATTAGGTATGTTACAAAATTTCCATTCAAATCCTTCCCAAGGATTTTGTTAAGAATCTTCATACTCGATACCTCATTATTGCCAAAGGGCCAATTATAAATACAAACAGTGATGAAACATAAAAGTGCACAATGTTTTAGATCACAAACAAACACAAAAATAATTGGAAGGCCCTCTGTTAGAATCCCAGGATAGATTCATTCCACAGCATGTCTTCCTCTGTTGGTCCATTGGCTTCTGCCTTCTTTTTTTCCTTCTTATGTTTCTTGCTCTCCTTTTCAGAACCTTCTTTATGGCCTTTCTCTTTATTAAGCTTCGATTTTCCCTCACTTGCTGAATCTATTCCGTCTTTCTTTTTCTTTTTCTTCTCAACATCACTCCCCAAGTCTGTCTCTTCTTCATTGTATTTTCTCTTCTGTGGTTGAGGATTCCCCTCTCCCTCCCCCATTTGTTCTTTCTCCTCTTTAGACATTTTTGGCAGTTTCTGACTTCTCTCGTAAGAGCTAGTGCTATTATCTGGAGACACATACTTGTAGCTATCACCAGATTCAGCTGGTGGCAAATTGTAATAGTAATCCTTGCAGATGGCCAAGTGAGGCATTTGTTTTTCTGAATATTTTTCTGAGCTGTCTTGAGGCACGAGTGCATTTTCTAGTTTTAATGGTTCCCTGCCAGGTGGAGATTGACGTACCAATCGGCCTTCAAAATAAGGGTCTGAGAAAAAAATGGAATGTTGGTCGGGTTCATAAACATCACGGCAAAACTGATCTCGCTGAAAAGCAGTGGTCTTTTTATGACCATTCATGGCTTCATATCCTTCATTTCCAAACTCTTCTCTTGGCTTTCTAAAATTAGTTTTTGGTTCTAGGCCTCTAGCTTTTTGTACTTTAATATAATCTGCCAGTTCGTCTTGAAAAGAATCATATGTTTTCTTTGTGTTGGTCATCAGATTGGCAATCATGTTCTCTCTGCAAAAATAAAGAGAAATTGTAAATCAAATGAATGGTAAAAGATTAGAGAAGAACCATAAAAATATTAGAAACCAACTTTCTCATTACTTTCTTTTCAAGATCACCAGACTAGATCACAGCAACGCGTGTCAGGGGACAGCTGTGTGTGTGTGTGTATATATATATATATATATATAGATAGATAGATAGATAGATAGATGGCATGGGACAACTTCAGCCTTCCATGTGTTTTGGACTTCAACTCCTACAATTCCAAATAGCCAGTAGGGAGTCCCAAATTTATTTATTTATTTACTTTGTCCACCGATATATATATATATATATATATATATATATATATATATATATATATATGCTTATATATACACATGCCCCTATATATATATATGGCTTGGGGGGCAAAATACTGTTTGCTTACCATTGAAAATTACCTAGGGCCGCCTCTGTATAGGAATCAACCATACTCCAATCATATAATTTTATTCAATCCACTCATTACAACCTGATTGGGCCACCCACAACTCTAGAACCAAGGATACTTAGGAAAATACTTACTTAATCTGATGCTTATTTCCTTGCATGTGAGACTGATACATCTCTATGGATGTAAGGCTGATGTTGCAGATGGGACATATGTAGTTACCCACTCCAACTGCTAAAAGAACGGAATTTCACAGGTTAGAAGCCGCAATGGAAATAACCTTCACCTTGTCATAACACTGTCTACTCACTTTTTGTAGTCCAGTTTTTCTCAACCTTCCTAAGCCGTGACCCCTTAATACAGTCCCTCATGTTGTGGTGACCCCCAACCAGAAAATTATTTTCGTCGCTGCTTCATAACTATATGTTTGCTACTGTTATGAATCGTAATGTAAATATCTGATATACAGGATGCATTTTCATTCACTGGACCAAATTTGGCACAAATACCCAATATGTCCAAATTTGAATACTGGTGAGGTTGGGTGGGGGATTGATTTTGTCATTTGGGAGTTGTAGTTGCTGGGATTTATAGTTCACATACAATCAAAGAGCATTCTGAACTCCACCAACGATGGAATTGAACCGGTCTTGGCACACAGACCTCCCATGACCAACAGAAAATACTACAAGGGTTTGGTGGGCAATGATCTTGAATTTTGGAGTTGTTGTTCACCTACATCCAGGGAGCACTGTGGACTCAAACAATGATAGATCTGGACCAAACTTGGCTTGAATATTCAATATGCCCAAATGTGAACCCTGGTGGAGTTTGGGGGAAATAGACCTTTATATTACATTTTTTTTCGTGTCAGGAGTGTCCTGTTGTGAGAGAATTGGCCGTCTGCAAGGACGTTGCCCAGGGGACGCCCGGATGATTTTGATGTTTTATCATCCTTGTGGGAGGCTTCTCTCATGTCCCTGCATGAGGAGCTGGAGCTGACAGAGGGAGCTCATCCGCCTCTCCCCGGATTTGAACCTGCGACCTGTCGGTCTTCAGTCCTGCCACCACAGGGCTTTAACCCATTGCGCCACCGGGGGCTCCTATATTACATTATATATTATATTATATTATATTATATTATATTATATTATATTATATTATAGAGTTGTAGTTGCTGGGATTTATAGTTCACCTACAATCAAAGAGCATTCTGAACCCCACCAACGAGAGAATTGGGCCAAACTACCCACAAAGAACCCATGACCAACAGAAAATATTGTGTTTTCTGATGGCCTTTGGTGACCCCTCTGACACCCCCTGGTGACCCCTCCAGGGGTCCCGACCCCCAGGTTGAGAAACGTTGATGTAGTCCCTTTGACAACCACTTTGAGAATAAAAGCAAGTAAACCCACACACTTATCACTGTGCAATACACATGATTATAATATACATCCTAGTACTACTCAAAGTGATGGCCAAAGGAGCTGCATTGGTCTGTAAGCCATCTGCTGCTAGTTTAGAGCAAGTATCCAGGAAGAAGGAAAGGGGCACAAATCCTACTGGTCCTTGGCCTCCTACATCAGATGGCCAGAGAAGCACAGATGTATATGATACATGTAACACTCAAAGGAAGCAACATTATACTAGTACTGGCGGGTGGAAGGTTATAATTTACATTTTTCTTGAGAACATACCTGAATGAAAGAAAATGCACAACACAATGAATGGAAAGGGTAGAGAATGGGATCTTTGAATGTTCAAGATGGCCCATATTACCCTACACTCCAACCCATCTTCTAGACCAGTGGTTCTCAACCTTCCTAATGCTGCGACCCCTTAATACAGGTCCTCATGTTGTGGTGACCCCAACCATGACGTTATTTTCGTTGCTACTTCATAACTAATTTTGCTACTGTTATGAATTGTAATGTAAATATCTGATATGCAGGATGTATTTTCAGTCACTGGACCAAATTTTGCTAAATACTTGATATGCCCAAAATTTGAATACTGGTGGGGTTGGGGGTGATTGATTTTGTCATTTGGTAATGCTGGAGTTGCTGGGATTTATAGTTCACCTTAAATCAAAGAGCCTTCTGAACTCCATCAATGATGGAATTGAATCAAACATGGCACATAGAATTCCCATGACCAAGAGGAAACACTGGGACGGTCTGGTGGACATTGACCTTGAGTTTTTGGATTTGTAGTTCACGTACATCCAGAGAACACTGTGGACTCAAGCAATGATGGATCTGGATCAACCTTGGCACAAGTACTCAATATGCCCAAATGTGAACACTGGTAGAGTTTGGAGAAAATAGACCTTGCCATTTGGGAGTTGTGGTTGTTGGGATTTATAGTTCACAATCAAAGAGCATTCTGAACCCCACCGACGATAGAATTGGACCAAACTTTCCACACAGAACTGCCATGACCAACAGAAAATACTATGGCGACCCCTCTGACACTCCCTTGCGACCCCCACAGGGGTCCCGACCCCCAGGTTGAGAAACACTGTTCTAGACATCTTGGTATCCTATAGGAGGGTTTTCTTTTAAAAATATATAGAGATAAACTGGCAAATTAAGCACTTGCAATGTGAACTAGTGAGAGCCAGTTGATTTATGAGAGCCTATTTTGAATTAATATGAGGACCATGTGTCTCAATGCTGCTTGATTACCATTAGGCTTAGCTTCCACAGGGACAGCCGTGGTTCCCATCTCCGCTAGCAGCTTCTTACGTGCTTCATTCCGTGTGTGCTTTTTGCCCACATAGTGCTGCCGGGACATTAGGGGATTATTAAAGGAGGCTGAGCAGAGTTTGCAAAACTTTTCTGGATCATCCATATCCAAAGTAGTTGCACATGATGAAGACGGATCTTCAGTGTCACAATCCTGTGAAGTCTTTTCAAGAGATGGTTCTTGTGAAGTTGGAATCACAGAGGGACCTGGCACAAAGGACAATGAAAAAGGTCAGGCCCCTTCTACACCGCCATATAATCCAGATTATCAAAGCAGAAAATCCACATTATCTGTTTTGAACTGGATTATATGAGTCTACACTGTCATATAAGCAGGTAATCAAACCAGGTAATGTAGAAGGAGCCTTGGTTTTTCACTGAAACAGGAAAAAAGAAAGAGAAGGAAGAAAGAAACAGAATCAGCAGACCTGCAATTTTCAGGATACATTAAGATAGGATACATATTTAGGGGTAGCTATGTGCCCATTATTTATTTATTTATTTACTTACTGTATTTGTATATCGCCTTTCTCAGCCAATCGGCGACTCAAGGCGGTTTCCAACAAAACAGTATACATAATATCATACTACAAATTAAAACAGCATAAAACACAACAAGGCAATAAAAACAACAGCATTAGTGTCTCCTTATTATCAAGCATTGCCCAGTTCCATCATCAAACCGTCAGATTTCCTATATCCGTTACTCTGCATTTGTGAATGCTTGCTCAAATAGCCATGTTTTAACTTCCTTCCAAAACGTTAAGAGGGAGGGAGCAGATCTAATCTCTCTAGGGAGGGAGTTCCATAGCCGAGGGGCCACCCCTGAGAAGGCCCTGTCTCTCGTCCCCACCAGACGTACTTGTGACAAAGGTGGGACCGAGAGCAGGGCCTCCCCGGATGATCTCAAGGTCCTTGATGGTTTGTAAGGGGAGATTCATTGGGACAGGTAAGTTGGGCCAGAACCGTTTAGGGCTTTATAAGCCAAAGCCAGCACTTTGAATTGGGTCCGGTAGCAAACCGGCAGCCAGTGGAGCTGGTGCAACAAGGCGGTTGTGTGCTCCCTGAGAGCCATTCCTGTTAGCAATCTGGCTGCCATTCGTTGGACTAGTTGAAGCTTCCGGACCGTCTTCAAAGGCAACCCCATGTAGAGCATGTTGCAGTAGTCTATACGGGATGTAACCAGAGCGTGTACTACCATGGCCAAGTCAGACTTCCCAAGGTACGGGCGCAGCTGGCGCACAAGCTTTAACTGTGCAAATGCTCCCCTGGTCACTGCTGAAACCTGAGGTTCCAGGCTCAGAGATGAGTCCAGGATCACACCCAAGCTGCGAACTTGCGTTTTCAGGGGGAGTGTAACCCCATCCAACACAGGCTGTAACCCTATGCCCTGTTCGGCCTTGCGACTGACCAGGAATACCTCTGTCTTGTCTGGATTCAGTTTCAATTTGTTCGCTCTCATCCAGATTGTCACAGCTGCCAAACACCGGTTCAGGACCTGAACAGCCTCCTTAGTAGCAGGTGGGAAGGAGTGACAGAGTTGGACGTCATCCGCATACAGATGACACCACACCCCGAAACTCCTGATGATCTCCCCCAGCGGCTTCATGTAGATGTTAAACAACATGGGGGACAGCATAGAACCCCGAGGAACCCCACAAGACAATGGTTGTGGGGTTGAACAGGAGTTCCCCAGTAACACCATCTGGGTACGACCCTCCAGAAAGGACCGGAGCCACTGCAAAACAGTACCCCGAGGCCCATTCCAGCGAGGCGTCCCAGAAGGATACCGTGGTCAACGGTATCAAAGGCCGCTGAGAGGTCCAGCAGAACCAACAGGGACACACTCCCTGTCTAGCTCCCGGCGCAGATCATCAACTAAGGCGACCAAGGCTGTCTCGGTTCCATGTCCCGGTCTAAAGCCAGACTACACCGGATCCAGATAATCCGTGTCTTCCAAAAATACCTGGAGTTGTGAGGCCACCACATGTCCCAGGACTTTGCCCAAAAAGGGGAGATTGGAAATAGGTTGATAGTTGGACGAATTGAGTGGGGTCCAGTGATGGTTTCTTCAACAGCGGTTTTATAATAGCTTGTTTTAAGCTCTCTGGAATATTGCCTTCCCACAGGGAGGCATTAACCACCACCTTCACCCACTCGGCCAATCCCCCTCTGGCCTCCTTTAGCAGCCAGGATGGGCAGGGGTCTAGGATGCATGTGGTTGCTCTCATTCCTCCAAGTATCTTGTCCACATCCTTGGGTTTCAACAATTGAAATGAATACAGCAACATACTAAAAAAACCCAAATCTACCAAAGAGTAATGCCTTTGCTGGTAATTCAAAATGTGGAAAAGACAGTATGTAAGCTTTTGCAACACCACTGGCTTCTTCATCAGGTAAAGATATTAAAAAATCATACAGGAGAGGAAAAGTAACAATGCCAGAGTCACACGTAGACATTGTGGCTTCAATCTTATTTCTGAGGTCAGTCAAAATGGATCAGAGGGATAGCAAGGCAAATAATAAACAGCATTTAAACTTCATTAGCAACAAAAAAAAATTACTTGAGATACAAGCTGGCCATGTCCTGTGCAAAGTTAACTACCCCTTTATTAAGTAGAAGATATTGAATTTATCTATCAGTCCATGTACTGCTACATCTGGAAAACCTTTTGACACTGTTTAGGTAAAAATTGTCAAATGCCCTTTCTTGGATATCTATATAAATAAAAATGTAATGTTCATTTGTGGGATTAACATAACTCAAAAACCACTGGACAATTTGACATCAAATTTGGGCACAGTACACCTATCAGGCCAACGAGTGACCATCACTCATAAAAACACTGAAAAACACAACAGAAGAGACTTACAATGCCAAAAAGCAAAAAGGTGATATAGTGCATGTGCAAAAACGACTCCCCTTAGCAAACAAAACACACAATAGCATGTCCAGACTACAGCTCCCAGCATCCCCTAGACCAGGCCTTTTAGGAGAGGAGGATAATCCAAATGCACTGCTTCCAAGCTGCAAGTCTTCTTCTCCTTGGATTTATTTGAGACCATCCCAATCCCTGCATGTTTCCAATTTCCTATTCCTAGACTACAACTTCCAGCAATTTATTTATTTATTATTCAAACTTATATGCCGCCACTTCCCTGGGGCTCAGAGCGGCTTACAGGCTAAAATCTAACACAATTTAAAAACAATTTAAAACAATTTAAAAACAGCAATATCAAAGATCAAAGGCCTGTCGAAACAGATATGTTTTACATGCCCTGCGGAAAGCTGATAAGTCCTGCAAGGCACGGAGTTCAGGTGGCAGAGTATTCCGGAGTGATGGTGCCACTGCTGTAAAGGCTCTGCGTCTGGTTGCTGTTAGACACAAGGTCTTGACATTGGGAATTTCCAACAAATCTTGGTCCTCAGAACGGAGGGATCTCTGGGGTTGGTAGGGGGTGAGGTGGTCCCTCAGGTACATCGGCCCCAGACCATGCAAGGCGTTAAAGGTGAGTACCATCACTTTGAAAGTGATCTGGTGCTCAATCGGTAACCAATGCAGCTGCAGTAAGATTGGTGTTATGTGGCATCTCATCAGAATTCCTGCAACAAGCATAGCAGCTGCATTTTGTACCAGCTTGAGCTTCCGGATCACCGACAGAGGAAGGCCAATGTAGAGGGCGTTACAGTAGTCCAGTCTTGAGATGACCGTAGCCTGGATCACCATAGCTAAGTCGTCCCTGGACAGGTAGGGGGCCAGCCATCTAGCCTGCCGCAGATGAAAAAAGGTGATTCTGCTAACGGTGGAGACCTGGGCCTCTATCGTCAGCAGAGGGTCCAAAAGGACTCCCAGACTCTTTACCAATGATGACGGGCGTAGCGCCTCGCCATCCAGGGTAGGCAGCTGGATATCCCCACTGCCTGGTTGACCCAGCCATAGCATCCCCATCTTTGCTGGATTCACCCTCAACCTGCTGGCACGCAGCCATCCAGTAACGGCCTCGAGGCACTGATGGAAACAATCGGGTGCAGAGTCCGGTCGGCCTTCCATCTTCAGCACCAGCTGAGTGTCATCGGCATACTGATAACACTCAAGCCCAAAACCTCGAACCAGCTGAGCAAGTGGTCGCATATAAATGTTAAACAACAGAGGTGAGAGAATGGCCCCCTGAGGAACCGCATAAGATAGAGGGGACCTCTCAGAGACCAGGCCTCCCCTCTCCACTCGCTGTCCACGGTTGTGAAGAAAGGAGGACAGCCAATTTAAAGCTGTCCCCCTGACTCCAACAGCAGCAAGGCGGTGGGTCAAAAGCAATCGTCCAGATAGATAGATTAGATAGAGATAGATAGATAGATCAGGACGATGACTGGGAGTTGCAGTCCAAGAATAGGAGAAAGAGGAAGGGAAAGAAAAGATGGGGGGGATGGAAGGGAAGAAGAAGAGAAGGAAGGAAGGAGAGAAAGAAAGAAAAAAGGGAAGGAAGGGGAGAAAGAAAGAAGAGAAAGAGGGAAGGAAGGTTGGCCACAGCAACGTGTGGTGTGTACATTGTTTTTGTTAAGGTTTTCCCTGTTGCTGTCAAAAATCTGCTATCTTCAAATACCGAAAACATGGAGCAAAATACAAAATTTCTGCATTTTGGCTGGCTAATAAAGGTATCATTCTGTTGTGGGTTTTGGATAAAGAAAGAATGCAATATTTGTGGCCGTCCAGTATTATCAAATAAACTCCTGAAGTTAGATCCTTCAGCATCCAACATCCTCACTGGCCTAGTTTTATCCTAGACCACAACACTTCTCTGATAAAAATGGCACACATTTTACTATCTCATTCTGACAAACAACACAGAACAGTGCAGAGTTTTCACCAGGTTCTGGCTGAGTGCTCTGATCTGATAACAGTTTCAACTTTTTGGAGTGCATCTTTCCCAGGTAGTGTGACTGGGCAACCACTGGAGATGAGAACACTATGCTGCAAAGCCTGCAGCAGGAATTGTTGTCAGCATTTGACTCCATCTGAAATAAAAAGACAAAAATACTGAATCACGTTATGCTCAAGGGATGGTTCAATCTCTCTCTGTTAAGAGTACAGGAAAAGAAATTAGCATTTATGATAAAAACGAAACTTCAGGTTGGGTTCAAAAAAGTACATTCCACATCAGATAAGGGTAATTATTCTGCCTTCCAATGTTTTGTTATGAAAAATTACAACGCAGAGGGAAAGCCAAGTGGAAGCTGTATCCTATGCTGCCGGATTGAGCTAGATATACATGTGGCTTGTGATACAGGGCTCTCTTTGCCAATCCACCCCTTCCTTATGACTCAAAGTCCTTATAGTGCTATGATTCTACTTCACTGCCATGCTTCCATACTATTTAATCCTGCAGTTTGTAGTCTGGTGAGTCCCTAGTGCCGACAGAGAATTCTAAGTATTTCTCCTAAAATGCAGGTCTACAGGACGACATTATGACAGCTGAATTGGAATCAGATTGCTATAATTGTGTAACATGAACACATACACACATGTCATAGAGTCATAGAGTTGGAAGAGACCTCATGGGCCATCCAGTCCAACCCCCTGCCAAGAAGCAGGAATATTGCATTCAAAGTACCCCTGACAGATGGCCATCCAGCCACTGTTTTAAAGCTTCCAAAGAAGGAGTCTCCACCACCCTCCAGGGCAGAGAGTTCCATTGCTGAACGGCTCTCACAGTCAG